GGGGGGACGGGGGGGGACGGGGGAGAAAAGGGGGGAGGGAATGATATGCAAGAAAGTGGGAAGTGAACTGCGGTGTGAGGGGGGGGGAGTGGGGGGGAGGCATCCGAGGGCAATTTGACAGGGCAGCAAGCTTGCAAGGGTTGGGGATATTCAACGTATGCAAATAGAGATTGCGGCGTGACACAACTGGGCCCCCGTCCAAAAAATGCGAGCAGTTGGGAGTGCGAAGCAACGATGAGGAAGGTTTGCGTGCGGGGTGGGGTATCCTGGGCGGGCGATGTCGCGGCCTAGAGGATGGTGAAATGGCGGGCACAGCCAGCTGCGCCACATACACCCGTACATATGACACCTACTTGGGTATGCGTGTGTACGGCTCCCCCCTGGCAGCTCCCATCGTCTTACTCCCCCGCGCCTAGCTCTGTACGTCTCGCATTATACGCAATTACCAGAATGTATTTATGTTACGTGACGTTTTACGCATTACACGTGAACATAATGTATGTGTAATGTATGTGCGTATATATGTATCCCACCCTCTCCTTCCCCCCCCAAGATGTCCACATATCGACCAGCAACCCCACCTGCTGTTGCGCATGGTCTCTTGCGTGTCCCGCCCCACCCCCCAAGTCCCCCGCCCCAGCCCCCGTACGGCAGCAGCTGCTTCCAGGACGTCCCCGTCCCCTCTCCCCCCCTCCTCGTGGCACGTAATCCTCCCCCCTCCCCCCCCCCCGGGGCCCCACCGCTACCACCAGGCCGTGATTCGGCAGGCGGCATCCTCCTCCTCATCCTCCCGGAAGCAGTACCGCAAACCCAAGATGGAGCCCCTGCGGTGGCCGGGATTTGATGAACAGGTGGGGAGGGGACATACATACATACATACATACATACATACATACATACATACATACATACATACATAGTTACAAGGCTTACAAGTTCCGCACGAATGCGGGGTGTCCGTCAAAGCCTGATTGGGGGCCCCGTGGACTAGGTATAGGTTGAAAGTTAATTTCGCCTCTACAACTGAAGGCGGTATTTGGGTCCTGCCAACTAGACCCCTCCTCATCCAGTCACCCGACATCCGTAGAGACAGGCCAGCCACCACCACCATCTCAGCATGCGAAACGTAGTCCACCAACTAGACCTCACCACAGTAGCAATTGGTAAACCTAAGATTCCCAAACAATGTCGATGGTCTGTCCAGGAATCGAACCCAGGACTTCATCGCAGTGGAGTCATACATAAATCCCTTTCTCTCGACCCTTTCGCCCCCCCCCCAAAAAACCCCGCCCTGCTTTCCCTCCCTCCCTCCCTCCCTCCCTCCCCCCCTCCCTCCCTCCCTCCCTCCCTCCCACAAGGACCCGTACTTCTCTTCGCTGCTTCCCGCCGCCCGGGACTGGCTCATCAACCGGCGCAA